ATGAAGTCTAGTCTTAAATCCCCTTGAAACAATGAATTAGAGACTTACTGCTTGAAGTTAAGTACATATTTATACTTGCTTCTATTAAAGTCAATTCACATCTACTTCACATCCACCTCATATTTGAAAAACGGTAGGCATTCAAAGTACATTAGACACAGTAACAGAGATAAAATGAATGCAATATATTAAAAGAAAAAAAAAGCATTAGTTTCCCCTCTGCTATTCTCAGCAATAAAATATTATAAACTATTGTGAATATTGATTGGGGGAAAAAAAGTATCTATTTTTGGTAGTTTTTATCTCCAAATATACTCCAAATTATACTCCATTTCCTATAAAAAGGTATTGCAAAACTTGGAACTGAATTAGAAACCTTCATTTGTTTTTAGAGTTCTTAGGAACTTGGAATTTACTTAGGAAAAAAAAAATCTTGGGGGGAAGTGATCTTTGTGAAGGTGATCAAGGAAACTTCTTTGTTATTGATCAGTGGAGTTTGCTTCAGAAGATCTCAAACAGCAGTGATTGATTCTCATTAACAGTATGTAGAAAGAAGAATAAACCATTCTCATTCAGAAGCCTAGGAAATTAATTTAAATAAAAGCCTTGTTAAACCTGAATGTTGAATAGCCCAGCAAAGTATTTGACATCATTTTATTTAGAGAATAGTGATTGTTACAAATCTCAGACTTCAGTCTTCTACTCTCCCTCTCTTCTGCCCTTCATAGTATAAATGTTAACACATTTAACTGTTGGGGCCTAACTGACTTTTAATTTTTTCTTCAAGGTTTGCCCAATTTGTGCCTCAATGCCATGGGGAGATCCAAATTACAGGAGTGCTAACTTCATGGAGCATCTTCAAAGACGACACCGGTTTTCATATGATACTTTTGTGGTATGTGTTTTCTCACCCTTGGAGTACATGAGCCTGAGTACTCTTAAAACACAACTTTTTACATAGTCACTACTATGAAATCCAATTTATGCAGATAGTATCATGAGACAAATGGAATTATTGGCAAGTTAGAAGATAAGGCAGCTATTTTCTGTTTTTATTCTGTGTTACATTAACCACCATGGCTGTTGCAGTAAAAGAATTTCTGTACCTTTTGTTCATAGGATTATGATGCTGATGAAGATGATATGATGGCACAGGTTTTGATGCGTTCTTTGCGGGATAAATAAAATCTAAAAATGTGAAAGACTAACTGTCAAACCAAGCTTCCACGGGGGGTAAGCGCCCAGCATCCTTGCACTTCTCCCTGTACATCCCGAGATGAGCTCAGGCATCCAGAAATACGGAAGACTTTTTAATCTGTCTTGGTTTCAAATTCCTGTTTGATATGTTTGTATCATTGGGTCTTCTGTTAACCACATAAATTTAATTTTCTTATTTGTTTCACACAAAGCTTAATTGTAGGTCAGCATGGAGGAAACTTCTTTCCTTTCACCTATGCCTGTTTTCTGATGAGTTATTTTTTCCAGTTGTGTTCATTTGACTCTAAAAACAGAAATATTCAGTGGTCCAAACAAATTGGTAAATTTCACCTCCTAATGTTGTTTACATTTCTTAAGTGATAGTATAAGAGGTGTATTTGTATGTATTTTTCTTAAGTGAGACCTCTAGGTGCTAGCTGTAACTGTCAGATCAGTTCTCATTCAAAGTGGCCTCTGCCTGTGATTTCATGTTTAGCAGAATTTGAACTCTTACAGGCATTCTCTCAGTTACATGGAAAACAAGTTTTTAGTATGAGTCTTCAAACTACAGTTTTCCTTAGCAGATGTTTGCAGCTATGTAAGAAACTAGTTCAAAGTATTTTAGTTCTACACCTGATTATTATTCTGTTCCACACTTTGACCATAATTTCAAGCCTGGAAAATAAATCTTTTGCGTTAGTTCAACTGCTATAGCAAATATTAATCGTATCTGCTGGCTTTGTGATTCAATTAGTGTTTTTAGAAATTGGTTTTCTAGGTTTCTTAAGCATTATGCTCATAAGAGAATTCAGAAAAAAAATCAGTATCTCCGCCTTACATGAAAATTTTTGTTTAAATGTATTTATTTGTAGTTGTTCTATCCCTCAAGGCAAACTGAAAGCAAAACTTAGATTCCATGGCACTTACACAGCTCTACCTTTCCGCATTGCAGATTTTAAGAAGTATTTTGAATTTATGTTCTTCATTTAAATGTTGCTAAAGCTATGCTTAGATTGTGTTTTCCATGTATTATATATATAGTATGCAGGTATAGCTTTCAAAGAAAAAGTAAAATATAAACAAGAAAGCAGGATGACTGTTCCCTTACGTGGAAAATGGATACTTGATATTCATTTATACACTTTCACTTATAGAGCTTCCTTTTAACACTTTAACTGCACAATCATGATGCTGAGATCTAGCAATCTGAGACACCTGAGCAGAAGCTGTAAACCAGAGTAATATTGATGTCTTGTGTAATTCAACTTGGCATACTTAATTGGAGCAGTGGACATATACCACCACAGAATAGAGTACTAATTAATTTCTTTAACAAATAACATCTTCATACCCTGCAGACCACGGTGTAGCCTTACCCTTATTAAATGTACCCCAGCTAAAATCTCCTGATTAAACTTTGTGTTCAGCAAGACCTCTAACATATTTAGTGTGTTTTTAGTATGTTCTCTCAAACTTGGAACAGGCTACTTATAGACTCAGCCTTAAGTATCTGCTTGGTGAACAGAATTTCAGTCTTAGCAAAAATACTCATGGCACTGAGGGAAAAAGTACTTTATTTTGGAGTTGATTATTTCTAATGCTTGATCTGTGAGAAGATGACCATGTTGGAGGTTGAGTGAAGATTTCTAGGTTCTGGCTGGGATGGAGTTTTGTGGTGCAAGTTGACCTAAATCTAGATTTCTGCTGCTGTTTGAAGTGCACTTCCATTCAATTTAGATTAAATGTTTAAGGAGCAGTTAGAAGCTTCTGAGCAATTACTTTGTTGTGTTTTTTGAATTTTGAAGACAAGTTATAAATAAAGTTCATTTAATTTATAAAATTCTATCTTCATGTCAGCTTCTATCATTTCTTCCTCATAATCCGTATGCTTTGTTTCAGCATCTCTCCAAAACAGTTCTTAAAGCTATGTAGAGCTCCAGGGAGCATGCCAGAAACTGGGGAAGAAACAGAGAGACTTCAGCTTTGTTTCCATTGCCTGTGAAACAGGAAGGTGGGAATTGTCTTGCAGCCCTGAAGGATGAGAAATATTTTCTCAGGCCTTATGATCATACCTTGTCTGTATAGACCTGCTCATTGACTGTGCATCTTGGCTTTGATTTGCTTTAACTGACAAGGAATTATTTCACGCATGGGACAAACCCAAACTGGAAAATGCACACCAGATCTACTTGAAATTTGATTAAATTTGTGTATGAGTAAGGAGTGAAGTTCTGGCACCTCCTAGCTTGGTAACAGTGGAATTTATAGCACTGCTATCCGTGCAGTGATAAGCATCCATACAGGCACTCAGAGAGAAGTTGAGCTGTAGTTTTCCACTTAAGTGCTGATGAGCTTAGTATCTCGGTGTGCTGACTTCATCAAACTTGCTTACAAATGTCTCAGTGGTATTTGCTCATTAATTTGAAGACACTGGTGAGATACACGTGCTTAACCTTGATTTATCTCATCTGTATGCAGAAACTCATCATTTAAAAAAGGATTGTTATAGAACAAGCTAATTCTGTTTTCAGAACCTGGTAAAGTACTGCTGCAGGAAAGTGAAGCACTGCCAGAGGGGTGCTACCACCTTGTCAGCAGCTGATCTTGCAGCTGCAGCAAGTCCTACTGCTAGTGGCCCACTGTTAGTGATAATGCAGTCGGGCTGCCTTCAACCTGTGAAATTCCTAGTGTCTAGCACTGGGAATTAGGAAAATCAACACACAGGAAAGGGGACAGAATGGGCAGAGACAAGCATGTGTCTGAGGGTTTGTTATTGGTTTTTGTTTTGTATTTGCTTTGAATCTGTCTCTGGTCAAAGACTGGCCTTAATCAGGCAGATAAACTGATATTGCCTAAAACAATTGGCATAACTTCACCTGGAATTCTAGCAGTCAATCCCATCTTGCAAAGGACTCTGTAATAATGCATTAACTGTGGGTTAATGCTGGGTATTCCTGATGCCTGCTTGGCAATAACTGTCCTGAGGCCTCGAAGCAAAGCCCAGCGGATTTAGGGCAGGGACTTTGGCAGATATGGATGCTCCCTGGCGAGGTGGATGTAAGAAGGATTCATCTCTTTGTCAGAAGTTTGGGGTCTACGCAGGTATTTCTTGCCAGCTTCAGGCAGTTGGCAGTCTTCAGAAGCTTTCAGGTGTTGTTTTCAAAGTTGTTTTTTTATGCTTGTTTGCAGCATAAGACTTGAGAAGATAAAAAGGATTGAGGCAAACGGGGTCAGGAGAATAAAAGTGCTTTGGTTTCCGAAGCAGCCGCAAAGCAGCGCGGTAGCACGTGAGTGGCAGCCAGCTGAGCGCTGGCCTCCTCCTTCTGTTGTCAGCGCGGTGGCTATGACTTTTTATCCGAAGAGGCCGTCAGGGAGCACCTTCGGGCGCTACTTCGTGCGGGTCGCGGCTGGGGGCTGCGCGTCACCCGCGGTCCGCCCTGGCTGCCGGCAGGGGGAGAACTCGGCCCGCCGAGAGGCAGCGCCCGGGCCGGCCGAGCCGGGCTGTCCCCGCCGGTTCCGGCCGCGGGGAGCAGGTTCACCCCGTTTCGGGGGGAGGTGGGGAGAAGCGCCTGCAGGCAGCCCGCGCCGACGACGTGCAGCAAAGAAGGAACGGGGCCGGGCCGCGCAGCGCGGGGCTCGGGAGGATTCGCCAACCGCCTCCTCTGGAGATGGGGAGCGGCCGCCCCGAGCCGCGCTTCCCACTTCTGCGTTCGAGGAGGGCTGCGGCCGAGCGGGTGCGTGGAGCCGAGCTCCCCGCGGGAGAGCTCCGCCCAGCCCTCCGCGCCCCGGGGTCCGCCGGCAACGCCGGGGAGTTGAAGGCGGCTGTGAGCCCATGAGGACGGAGCGGTGGGGAAGGACCGGGAGGGCTCCGGACCTAGAAATCCTGGCTCCGCACCCGTTTCCAGCCGACGCTCCCGAGCCGGGAGCTGCGATGCCCGGTGCCGGCACCTGTAGTCTGCCCGCCCCGCCCGCCCCATTGGCTCCGGGCACGGGGGGCGGCCCCGCACCGCCCTTCTCGCCCCCCTGTACAGCCCGGGCCCATATTAACGGACGCCGAGAGGCGGAGGTTCTGCAGCGGGCGGTGGCGCCGGGCCAGCACGATGCCGCGCTCGTTCCTGGTGAAGAAGCACTTCTCGGCCAGCAAGAAGCCCAACTACAGCGAGCTGGAGAGCCAGACCGGTGCGTGCCGAGCCGAGCCGCCTCGCGGGTGGGGGCTGCCCTTCCTCCCTCTCTGCCTCCCGCAGCGGAGCGGCGCGCTGCCCTTCCGCGCGGCTGTGGGATTTTTAGTTCGTTTCGTTCTTACCGCGAGGAGGGGAGCGGCTGCGTAGTGCCCCGGGGTAGGCAGAGACCCTCGGCGTGAGCGGTGACCTTTCCGTCGTCCCTTGGCGCCGGGGTGAGCGGGGCGCCTCGCTCTCTGCGGTGATTCCGTGTTGCCCCGGGGTGAGCAGTGAGCGCTCCGCGGGGTGGACTTGGGATCCTTGGGGTCGGTTTGGGGTCCCCGTGTCCCTCTTGCTCCGGGTTTGCTGTGGGATGCAGTTGAGTCCCTTTGCCTTGGGCTGGGGCATGTAGCCGCACGGTGTGGGATCGAGCACCCTGTTCCTGTGGGCAGAGAGCCCACTGTGGGGTGGGCTAAGGTCCCCGTGTGCCCCCATTCCCGTTCCCATTGGGGTGAGTTGGTCCCCTCCATTTTCAGTGGGACAAACTAGGATTCCTTTGCCCCCCATTCCTAATGTGACAGGTTGGAGTCCCCTTGTTACCAGCGGGGTGGATTGGGGTCCTTACACCTCTTGTTCTTATGAGGTGAGTGCTCCACTGAGTGCTACCTATTGCCTACAGTGTTTGCTGCCCCGCTGCTGTATGAGACGTGTGCGCTGTCCGTCATCCCTCCACCCGAAGTGCTGGGCCCTGGGACCTATTACCCGCCACTGGTGTGGGATGCTGGTCTGCTCTCTAGCCTTTTCCCAGCTGGCCTGGGCACCGAGGCAGAGGCAGCAGGTGGTGCAGCACCAGCCCTGGACCTGACGACACTCTCTAGTGAGGAGGATGAGGGCAAGAGCTCAGGGCCACCCAGCCCGGCCACAGCCCCTGCTGCTGCTGAGCGGTTCCGCTGTGCCCAGTGCACCAAGGCCTATTCCACCTTCGCTGGGCTATCCAAGCACAAGCAATTGCACTGCGATGCTCAGACCAGGAAATCTTTCAGCTGCAAGTACTGCGAGAAGGAGTACGTGAGCCTGGGGGCTCTCAAGATGCACATCCGGAGCCACACGCTGCCCTGTGTCTGCAAGATGTGCGGCAAGGCCTTCTCCCGGCCCTGGTTGCTGCAGGGCCACATCCGCACGCACACTGGTAACAATGCTATTCAGCCCTCCTCCCACCCTTATCGATTCCCTGCTCCTAGCCCAAAGCAAATCAGTTGCCAGACTGTTATCTTGGAAGATATGGGCTTTCCTTGGCACATCTCTTTAAATATTCTAGTTGGAACTCACTGTGGAGTAAAGATACAGCTTGGGAATGTGTGCCTGGAAGCTGGGGCTGTTGTGCTGTGCTGGGATGCTTGGTCCTGTGCAACTCCATGCTCAGTGACCTGCTGCCCACCACCATGGCCTCTGCCCCAGGGCCACGGCACCTGGCATCACCCGTAGCTCTGCAACTCATGGTCCCAGAGTTACAGGCAGGTGTTGGCAGCTGCCTCGTGCACCTGTTGTTGTTTGGGGCCATGCACAGCTGCAACTCTCCTCATGCCCACAAAGCATCTCTCGAGCATCTTTTGTGGTGCTATTGGGATGGTGTAATGGTTCCTTGGCACTAATTTCGTACTCTCTCAGTGTACTAAAGATGATGGCTGAAGGAAGCTGGCAAGACTTGATTGTGCTTTCCAAATTGAGCATGCACATTTGTTTCCTCCAAAAGAGTCTGAGAGGAATTCAGCCTGGCCAGGGCCTTTCAATGTGTCCAGGAAGGAGAAGGGGGAGTGCAGGGTTTGGGGGAGGAAACGGCTGTGCTCAGCCCTAACGCTGTGACACCGTGGCAGGGCCTCGCCGTGCGGGAGCTGCCCTGCTTCTCGCAGATGGTTCTGGCGTCATTGCTCAAGGAGAGACTTTTCTGAGTAGGAAATTCCCAAGCTGGAGGCCTTGCTCGGTGAATGCAGGCCTTCCCATGCCGCTTTCCATCCCAATAATGCTGCGAGCACTCCTTTTCACACGGTTGCTGGCTAATGAATGGCGCGCTCTTTGATATTCCCCATGTGTTGATGCAGTGATTAATTGGGAACGTTTCTCTTTGTCTCATAGGTGAAAAGCCCTTTTCCTGTACACATTGCAACCGGGCCTTTGCTGACCGCTCTAATCTGCGCGCCCACCTGCAGACCCATTCAGATGTAAAGAAGTACCAGTGCAAAACCTGCTCCCGGACTTTCTCCCGAATGTCGCTGCTGCACAAGCACGAAGAGACGGGTTGCTCAGGGGCACGCTGAGGACCAGTACTCCTTTCCCGTGCAGATACATGTATTGTACCTAGTGTTTGTAGGAGTTAGTTCCCTCCGTGCTGCCGCTGCCATGCACTTCGGACTGTATGCAGCCACAAGACATGCACGCTCCTCGTCCTGTGCTCCTGTGCAACCCCAAGGCCCAATCCTGCTCCCATCTGGACATCTTTGGGTGCAGGGTGGACTCCCATGAGAGGAATAATGAGGCCTGGAGCATAGCAGCACCTCGCAGGTGGCACTGCATCCTGCATTCTGGCGTGCCACCAGTGTTGGGCATTGCAGCTGTGTAGCTCTGGGGGTTACTTTTCTTTTCTGTTTTTTTTTTTTTTTTTTTTTTTTTTGCCATAACCACTTGGTAATTTCTAAGAACCAATATTTTCTTTAATGAAAGACGAAGTGTTAACTCAACCTCTTTCCCTCTCTCTCGATTGTATATAAGCTGCAAGTAGGTGTAACTATGCAATAATACAGTATCACATTAGTTGTGAAGCAGCTGCTTCTTCCCAGCACAATGACAATTTGCAATGCCTACAAGATTAACGGTGTCCATAAAAGGCATTGGTAGCTATTTCAAACAAGAATCCTGTTTACAGAGCAGCTATGCACTCAAGCACCTGTTAATATGACTCTTAACAACTGCTTTTCAAAGAGGACTGTGACTAATAGCCGGCACTTGTCAGAGATACAATGGTGGCCTGTCCAAAGGCTGCCCACCGACAGGTGTGTGCCAGAAGGGCTATTTATGGTTTTTGACAGGTGCCTCCTGAATGCGTCTCTTTGGACATTGTTTTTACAGAATCATAACAAAGAGGATGTTTACGTTTCAAAGGTACACTGGTATTTATATTTTTGTGCCATAATTTTGTACTGATAAAACTTTTATATAATTATATACAGTTTATTGATATTCAGTAAAATGGTTAATTTATAATCTGGTTCTGTGTGTGCTTGGGTGAATACATAGCTGAGCTGAGCACGGTTTGGGGAGTGGGGTGCGGGGCCCCAGCAGTTCTCCTGCTCCTCACGCTGGCTGCAGGTGAACCACAAGTGCTGTTGCATGGCAGGGGCTGTGGCACAGCCGTTTGTTGGGGAAGGAAAAGGTAGGCTGAGTCAGTTCCTGCAGCCGTGTGGGGCTGGGGGAAGAGGGCAGCTGTGAAGAGACGTGGGCAGGTAGAGGGCTGCTGTTGGGACTGCAGTGGGGAGTACCTGCTATGCCTTGAGATTCCCCGTGGGAACAGTGCTAGGGACCACCAGGACATAGGTGGGTGACTGGGTGACCCTGCACAGGTGGTGTGGCCATGGGACTGGCACATCCTGTTGTCACATGGAGCCTTTGGATGGGGCTGTCCCGGGAGGGGTGAGGTGCACTGAGGACACCCCTGGTGCTCATCTCTGCCATTTTCTACAACAAAGTCATTCCTGTGCTCCAGCCCCCTCCAGAATTTGGGGCACATAGCCTCACCACCCTTCCCACTACCTCCCCAGGGAGCTGAGTGTTGGTCCTTTCACCCCCACACCGCCTTGGTGCCATCTCCAGGATATGGCTGCCAGCAGGGCACTGAGCAGCCATCCCCTTGTGCTGGAGGCAGTGTCCGCAGTACTTGTGCCCAGCTCTCATAGGCTGTGGTGGAGCTCAAAGATGTGGGGCTGTAAAATGGAGCAGAACTGATGCTTGGCCCTTCTTTAATTAAGAAGGGCCCAGTGTAAATCGACTTTCCCAGCCACGTTCGACTCATTACTTTATTATTAAGCAGGGCAGGAAGTTTTGGGTTTTGTTCTCGGGTGTGCTTTTTTCTTCCTTTTCCCAACAGGAAACGGGGGAAGGGCACTAATTACTTTCAGCTTTCCATCCATAAAATCTTGGATTCGCAAAAGCAGCTAAAGACTTTTAAAAAAGACCAATTTGGAGCAAGGACCACCTGCAGGAGCTGGGAAGGAGGGGTCAGAGGCTGACAACCAGGGAGCATGGAGCTACGAGGCCTTTCCTGCAGTCAGGAGGCTACACTGTGAGCTCTGCATATCACTGGGCCAAATCCTTCTGTTTCTGTTCTCTGGCAGCATGCATCTGGCCACACCATGTGGTCACTGCTCAGATATGCCTTGCTGGGGTTGGATGCAGGGAGTCCTGCCAGCCCTACATCAGTGGGATGCGATGAATATTGGTTGGGCAGGCAATGGAGTTGTGGCCAGCCTCCTCCTTAGTTTTGCTACTCCCAGTTTTGCTTTGTCTGGAGGCTGGCTGGGATGCAGTGCTTTCAGAGGAAAGGTATGAAACAGGTGAAGGACAGCCTGGGCTCCCACCAGCAAATCCTACTGGCTTTCAAACATGGCCTTAAAACATGGGGGAAAAACGTACCGCTGTCTGCTCTGAATCATAAAGGAGAAGCACGCCAGCACTGGGGCTGAGGCTGTGTGCCCTGTCTGTCTGCTTTAGTCAAGCTGCCCCTGCTCCAGGGTCCTGCAATGGGAAGCTACCCCATGTAACTAGGAATGTGCCTGAATCTGTGACTTCTCTGCATCACAAGGTTTCATGATGAAGAATTGCCCCTGGAACTGGGCGTTATGATGAGCTGCAATTTTCTATTTCACTTTCAGGAGGAAGCCCTCTGATCAGCAGCCCCAGCTGCAGTGATATGCAGCAGCAGCAGCAGCAGCATTATCCTTGCCCTCCATCCCTGCCCCTGAACTGTATGTTCTCCTGGGCAGCATGTGGTAAAGCCAGAGGGTTCATGACAAAGCCTCAGCAGTTTTCTCTGTTATTTCCCCACTCTGTTTTAATGCTACAGGAAATAAACACACTGTAAAGTTGCATCCCATGCAGGTAGAGCTGGCTGCACGCACCATGTTGTGCAACCATCTGCAATGCATTATGGTATCCATGCTTCCAGAGCCAGGATTCAGACAGCCTCTCCTGTACTGGAGCACAGGGCTCAGCCATACTGGCTCCACACACCCAGCAAGGCAACATGCTGCCACCATCACATGTCTAAACTCCTCATTTTCATTTCCATGGGGGACCTCTGAAAAAGCACGTACAACACTGCAGCTGGTGGAGTCCATTCAAAGGTTCAAGGGAAACCACAAAGTGTGTGTGCTTCCCCAGTTTTCCCCTCTCTCTGACCTGGTACTGACTTCGGGGTTGTAGGAAAGGGACCGTGGGAGGGGCCAGAGAGTGACCAGAAGTACGGCAGGACTCTGGGAAAGGCTAATAGTGGAATCGTGGCTATGTGGCTGGTGTGGATTTGAGGAACGAATAGCAGGAGCTGTGCAGAAGCCAGGACAGTTGAGGGGCAGTCAGCAGGTACCTCAGGTAGCTGGTGAATCCAGGGATGGGTGGTCTTTGCTCTTGCTCTGTGCCCACAGAAAGACAACAGGTGCAGGGTTGGGGGATCACAGCTCCTCATGTCAGCATGTAGAGGTGTAACAGCCAGCGTCCATTAATTGCTCACAATGACGAGGGAGTTCACAAGCAAGCTGCAGGTGTAGCTATTGTTTTTCTGGCTCTGGGCTATTGACATGAGGAATTATATCAAATTAATCTTTAATCAGATGATAAACCAATAGCATGGGGCTGGAGAGGTGCAGGTCTTCCCAGAGAAACAAAGAGTGTGGTGAATGCAAAGAGGGCAGGAAAGCCCGGAGTGGGAAACAAACCCATTGGGTTCTCTGCAATTTCTCCATCTGAGGATTCCCAGCTCAGCATGAGGGGAAAAGCACAAAACAGAGCTCTCCTCCTTCCCACAGGGATCAGTGCGCGCTTTACTGGGCCGAGACTGCAGCTCCACAATAGCGATGCTGTGCTGTAACACACTGGAGATCTGCCTAGAAAATCATCAGAAAGTATTTTAAACCCATCATAGCATACATATTTATGGATCACCTCTGTTTTACTGGGCTCACTGAAAGCACTGTGAGGCCTGTTTGACTTTCCTTCATAAAAAGTCTCATGTTTCACATGTGAAGAGATTGGCGTCTCCCGAGCTAATTACTATGGGTTTCCCTCCACCTCCGCATTTTCCACGCAGGGTTATGCTGGCGACACATTGTCTGTTGCCCCCATGAAGCTGCGGTGTTGCACACGAGTCTCAGTGAGCAGGAGACACCATGGGCCATGGCAAGGAAGTGGCAGTGCACAGCGGCACAGAGTCACGGCCGCTATAAAGAGCTCCAAGGGCCTGCATTATGTCATTACTCAATTAGCCTGTTGGTAATAGCACTTCATTAGAGAGAGAGTTCCTATTCACTGGCCCTAATCCGCTTTCTAAAGCAGGCCCGCAGCCATTGAGAGCTTTTCCTACTTTGCCGGAGAGGCAGAAAGGAGTTTTGGATTGTGGCCCTGCAATGCGCAGCTGGGAGCACCTCTGCAGCAGTGATACTCTGTGCACACTGCACCCCAAAACGCTGCTCAGCCCACAAGGAACAGAACACCTGCTGCTCACCTGGCCCCAACATTGGCTGCCTGCACTTGGGGAGAGGTGTTGCTTTTGGGGTCATACCATGGATGACTGCAGCTGAGGACATGGCACTGTTTCACCCCAAATAAGGAAACCATATAACAGTACCAGGGATATCATCAGGGAGCAGAACCCCTTGCCCTTGCCTTGCCCAGCACAGTGCCGCATGTTCTGCTGCTTTGTTTGCCCTCTGCCTTTTCTGCAGTGTCTCTCACCATAGCGTGTGGGCTGCAATGCTGGAAAACCACCAGCATGCATCTGCCAGCCTGGCCTTATAGAAAACCCCGCTCTCTTTCTTTTTCTTTTCATTTTTCCCCTCCATTTTGCTCTGTGAACTGCACCATAGATATTAACTGGGGGTAGGAAGTAGCGTGAGAGTGGTGTGCAGGAAACCAATGTGTGTCAGGAAAGGATGTCAGTGCTGGGCAGCACAGCCGGGGGTGAGCGCCCAGCGTGGGAATTCCCCCACTGCCTTGCCTGGGTGATGCGCAGATTAGAGGGGCAGGAAACAGATCAGAGCCCTTTGCCTGCTGTTATTGCAGGCAACTGCTTTGATTCATGGTGGTCACTGGGGCCAGCAAAGGAACACAGAGGTCTCAACTGCTGGAGAATCATCTTGAGCATCCCACATCCTGAGTGCCCCATGTTCTCAGTGTTCCACATCCCAAACATTTCATATGCTGAGTGTTCTCTATCCTCAGTGTCCCATGTCCTGAGTGTCTCATGTCATGCCCCCTCAGCCTTCAAAGTTCCTCAGGCCCTATGCCGTGAGCGCCAAAGCATTCTCAGCCAATTCCACATCCCCCAGCCTGGAGCATCCATCTGACAAACATTGTCTTGTGCAGGGGGAATGGAGCTGGGGGTCATCTCTTTCCCATAAGGAACAGCTATGGCTCAGACCTTAGAGAGGTACAGCCTAAGCACAGGAGTTATTTTAGGTCAAGAGAAGTACCTGGGTAGAAATACGCAGCTGCTATCTGTGATCAATAGTATTCAAACATCACTATTTTCCAAAATGAACTCAATTTACAGCAGTAGATTTCCACCTCTACTTCTTACAAGGCTGGAGGACAGCAGTATGGGGCTTCCATTTACTGGACCCATTTCTGTATGGATTATCTCTTTTTCCAACAGGCTGCTCAGAGAAGCTGTAGGTGCTTTGTCCCTAAAGTCATTCAAGGGCAGGCTAAATGGGGCCCTGGACAGCCTGATCTAGTGCTTGGTCTGGCTGTTGGCAACTCTGCCTGTGGCAGGGGGTTGGAAATGGATGATCTTTGAGGTCCAACACAAGCAATTCTATGATTCTATGATTCTGTGATTCTATGATTCTATGATTTTCCCTCTGTCTCTGCTGCTGGCAAATTAAGAGCTTACCTTTATGACAGAAGTCTACAGTTTATTCCCCAGAGCACAAGTTTCATTCTCAGTCTGCATGGAGAAAACTTAAAGTAACTGCAGAAGATATTCTGCAAAAGCTCCAGTGGCAGAGAGCCAAACAAATGGGGACCACAGATAGCACGTGCACCAGGCATGCCACACAAGGATGCTCTCATACTTTAGCTGTGGCAGGCTTGGTTGCTTTGCTTTGCTTTGCTTTGCTCTGCCTTCTCACAAGCCCCCAGCCCTTCTCACACATGCCATCCAGGAAAGGCACCTACAGGTCTCTCTCCCTGGTGCTGGGCACGGCTGCAGGCCCATGTCACCATCAGGGCTCAGCATGTCCCTGAGCCATCACCATAAGCAGAGCTTTCTGAAAATATCCCCTTGCATCCCATCCATCCATGTGCCATCTGCACCAGACAGTCCTGAGATGTGTTATCAGCTGCTGGCAGCTCCATGCTCACCCTGCTTCTTGCTCCCCGCCCACCCCATCCCACTCTGCCTGCCTGGAGTGCTACGGCCCTGCAGCACAGTGTGGCCCTGCATGTAAAATTAGCACCATGGCAGGAGGCAGCAGGAGGAGAGCAGCCCTGGGGCCACAATGGGAAGCAGATGCTCACTGATTGAGCCCACATGTGGTGGTGGGAATGCTCAGCAGTGGTGCCCAGCCCAGGGAGAGGGATGCCGTGCA